AAAAATAGGATGGAGGTGGTGTTTTGCCTGGGGAAGGCAGAGGCTTGCTGATACAAGCACAAGCCAAAAAGGCCAGGACTATGCAGATATGGCGGCATGGACCCAGAAAATGCTGTCTTTCATGGCAGACATCCCCAGGCAGACTGCTGCTTCTGGATCAGGGTCACAAGCACAGAGTGGTGGGACTACATTGTGAAACACAGGATGACCAGCAGGGTCAGGTTCAGAGCTTTTGTATGAGGAAACTACATTCATGGAGCTGTGTAAAGCGCTCACTAGCCCCGTCTTCCCCAGGCAAAACGTGTTTTGGGCAGTCCAGCCAGCATTACAAAGTTGAAAAGATGTGCAGAAGATTAACAGGTGTAAGCAAGAATATATCAGTGCAAAATATTCAAGCACCAAAGAGCAAAATAAACTGAAAATATTGATGTGCACTGTTACATCTAATGGAACTGTACATCATCAAGATACCAGTTTGTTCCCCTGCATAGGAATAGGGGCAGAACACAGCAGCTGATGGTGTGCAGTGCTATTGCTCATTGACTTGCTCTCCCACACCTAGACTTGTACATATGCTGGAAGACATGGTGCGATGGAAGTGAAGTGATGGGATTGGACAGGTGGGTTGGGCAGTAGAGCTTGGAATTGACTGGCTCATAATCCCTAAAAGTCTCTCAGACGTCCCTTTGAAATGCCATGTCTTGCTCCCTCACCTCCCTATCATGGCAAAGACACTGTGTCACCATCTTTTCAGCCAGAGTTCACATCTCCTCTGACACTAGGTTCTCCTTTTTTTCACTTTGCAGCCCTCCCTTGGCCCTCCTGCTGTTGCTGAACTCCATTTTGTGATGCTGGTCTTACTGCCTGGAGAGTACCAGCTCTTCTGTTGTTGGGCTCTTAGGTTGTATAGCTGTTAGCTCACAGAGAGCAGTCTCTTAGGTGTCCTCTCCTCCCTCACTACATCCGAGCCTCTCTTGAAAGCTCCTAACAAACAAAAAGTCTGAGTCCCAACGTAGTTTTACATCCTTCCTGTGTAATTTGGTAAAAGAAACTGTAACTTTTATCTCATGCCATTCCATTCACTGCCTTGCTGTGATTGCTAGCTTCTGCCAGATTCCAACCTTGGTTAAAGCACATTCCTAGAAAAAAAAAATGGTGAGTACCACAACCTTCCCATTAAGCAAAATTTTCATTGTAAAAGGGGAGACTTTTCTTGAGAGGTGGGTGGGGAGATCAGTCCTGATGAAGCAGCAGCATTGGTGATTATTTCAAGCATAGTCTAAGCTGCTGTGGTGTTAGGTGATGTGGTCCTGTTGGAGATCCCAGTCTGGAATGGGAGAGCAGATATTCCAGGGCTCGGACTGGAGACCTTCTGATTGTGCAAGGGAAATCTTTTTGTGTCTTGTAGTAGCTGAACTTCAAAATGGCCAGAGGGGATTTGTGAGCTACGGGGGAGGCAAAGGGAGGCCTGCCTTGCACAGGTATAGACCACAGGTATAGTGGAACTCTGACTTTACAATAACAATAATGGTTGTGCCCACATTACCTGGCTGAGATGCTATATCCTCCACTGGTTCTTCCATGAAAGGCTCCTCTACTGTGCTCACTGGAGTTTGGTTTACCAAAGAGATCCTGTGATTTGGGACCGAGGTCTTCTCCGGGCTGGCTGTTCACAACCAAGGGGGTGGCTTCTGTGTCTTTACAGACATCCACGTTGCAAGCTTGCACCCATCCTGACTTCACAGATGAGCTTAGGCTGAAATGAGAACTGCGCACGGGATGATGCTTAGAACACCATCCAGTGCCTCATAAAGTGGGCAGCTCTCGGGTGGCATGGGGTTTGGAACTGTTATTCTTGGCCCTCCAACCTTGAGCCCATTCATCTTCTCCCTGCTCCATTGTCTGGTCCAGTTGATCCCATGATTGGCCAACAGTTTTGGGGCTATGGCATCTTACAGGTGGGCAGTTCTCACTCCAGGCCAAAGGTCAACCAAGGTTTTAGTATCATCCTCTGGCCAGGTGGCAGTATGCCTGGCAAGCATTCTTCTCACTGCTGTGTTGGAGACCAGAGATGACAAAGTTGTCATATGTTAGGATATAATCTATACATTCGTTTTATTTAGTCATTCAGTAATCATTCTGCTTCTCAAGTGTGTCATAACTAATTGTAACAACCATGCGACATTGGAAATAAAGGCTCTGCACATTGTTTTATGGTTTAACAAATGACTGCAACTTTTATTAGTTTATTCAAAAACCTGCAATAAGAATATTAATATAACCAAAAGCATGCCCTTCTTTCTATCCATCAGTAAAAGTTGAACAATGCAACCCTTTTGCTCTTCAGCCACAACAGGCTCAGAACCAAATTGGATACAAGTTACTCTTCCAGATAACATTGGGATTTGGTACAGACTAAAATTCTCAAATCTGATTTGTCCAGGGGTATGCCTACCTCTCTGCTCAATGTTAAAGTACATCTCCTCATCCAAATGCTCACCACATAACATGGCCTCACTCCTGCCTCTGTACAGGAGTTTAGGATTACATCTGGGCAGGATTATGCACTATAATTTCAATCGACCACCTGCCAAGTAATCCTGAATTACTCAAATCAGCTCTCAATACAAGATAATTTCTGACTTTGGATCTCTTATCCACTCTGAATAGCCTTCATCTTAACAAGACCTACTCTGTTCCTTTGCAACAGACCAGTCTTGCCTAAATGAATGACACCTATGAGAAAGGCCCAGCCCAGTCACAAGGAAATACACTGTTGGCATCAGCTGGATGCAAAAAACATAAATACTTTGTCAACAAACAACTGCTAAAGCACTCCAAAACCAAGGCCAATGAAAGCAATAACTTTTTTTAAAATGGCAACAAACTGATAGCCAAGAAACAACCATCCTCATAGAGAAAAAGGGTGATTAGGCGACCTGGATGAATGAAGGATATTTACTGTACGGATTTTCCCATTTGCACACTTCTGTGGCACAGTCTTGGCTCCCTGATCCATTTAATGTCTCCTGGAAAACCAGAGAGAATCACAGCCCTATGTGCCCACTTAAGGATCCTAGCTGGTGGGACCCAACTTGACTGGCCCCAGAAGCACCAAAAGACTTGACTTTACCCTGAACACAAAAAATGCAGTCATAAGTGATGATTTAAAAACTGATTATATTCAGAATCATTAGCTCAAATATTCTGAAGAGCAGACAGCAAGGGCCACACCATCTCAACTGTGATTGGACAGCAAGGGTTTATCTAACGAGCTTTGATAATGTTCATCCCTCTAGGAGCTTGAATACCTGAAAACTCTTACACAGGTTGCGGAAACAGACAGGCACAAAATGAAATGCCAGTCTGGTGGGACAATACTATAGATAGTGATAGAGTCTTCACTGTACTGACTTTACTGAAAACCGCATCACCTGCTCTTCTGGTATGGACCACAACAGGAGAAAATCTGGTGGCACTCTGAACACCATGAACTCAGAAAACCTGCTATGTCGATTGTTCTAGTCCTAGCTATAATCTCTCTCTCGCTCTCATTTGGTATCTGACACAGAGGCAGTTAATAGAGACCTTCATTGCTTTTACTCAGAAATTGCTCTGCTTTCTCCCCAGCCAGATCTAGGCCACTATAATGGCTATATAGCATAAGGTGGAGTGGGATATATTGGGGTTTAGCACTGGCAGTTCTTGCTCCTCATCTTGTCCTTGCTGCTCTGTTTTGTCTGTTCTTGCCTCCAGTCCCCCCCAAAGGTTTCTGGGCCAATTTGAGACTAAGGAAAGGTAGGGAACTGCATGACTAGCCTTGTAACCCACAGTTCTCTGATCACATTTAGGCAACCAGTGCTGCAAGCCACGTGGTGCTAGCAGCCAGTAGCTGGTACATTTTAAAATGTAGCACCTCAGAAATTGGTGCTATGTGAGAAAAGGTGAGAGTGGTATAGTTGGAACAGGTGTGCTGGAATAATTTGTATAGTGAGGGTTCTGAGAGCCATTGAACCAAACTGTAAACCCTGTATATGATAGAAACCAATTCCAGTCAGTGGGTGTGGCAGCACCCCCAGCACCTATTAGTTGAAAAGTATAAAATCCCCATTGTCCCCTACTCTTAAGCCTTTCAAGCCCCATGTGCAATCAAGAATTATTTTACATTTTTATAAAGCTCCTACATATATATTCTAACCTTTATCCCACATGATCTCAAAGTACTTTACAAAGTACAAAGGTTGTTTGCAGTGTTGTGTTAGGCCCAGGATATTAGAGGAGACAAAGTGAGTGAGGTAATATTTTTTACCAGACCAACTTCTGTTGGTGAGAGAGACAAAGTTTTTGAGTTTACAAAGATGTCACTTCACCAGCCACTGTGTACAGCCCAGCAACATGGTTCTCAGAGTAAGTGAAGAATGCTACATTTAATTGAAAATTAAGGGGAAATTTAGCAAGACAAAGTAGAATTACTGAGGATGCAGTGTGGTTGTGACACTCAAGCTACTTTTGCAGATGTATAATTGGATCTTTAATTATCATTAATTTGTATTACCATAGCCCCTAAGAGCCCATCATGGACCTGGACCCCATTGTGCTGCTAGGCATTGCACACAGAACAAAATGATGGTCCCTGCCCCAAAAACAATGTAAATTAAATTACCACAAAAGGGTCAGGATGTCAGTTTTAAATTTCATCTAAGGTGCACTTTCTTCAACCATTCCCCCCATTATTTTCAGTACCAACCATTCGACACTCGTTACCTAAACTAGTGACAGCGCTGAAGGTCCCCTTTCCACCCGCTTGACTTCGCGGGCTCTGCTTAGCTTACACCACCTACCAGCGTCCTTCCCCTTCCATTGCCGGTAACTTGTTACTTACCACTTCCGGCCACACAGACACGCCAGGGCCCCATCTTCCAAGCCAATCAGCGCCCTGCTCTGTGCCTCCACCAGCAGCACCCCCGTGGATCACGTGACCCCTTTGCCTCGGCCTTGGGGGGCATGTCAGTGAGTTATCGCGAGAAGGGACGGAAGCCTGTTGGGGACCTGGCCTTTAATGTGCGGTTCGACCCGTCTGCCCGGGGTGAGTTTGTAAACAGAGCGGGGCGAGGGGAGCCCGGCAGCGCCTCCGTGGCGTTGTAGTGGGGTTGATGCGCGGCGGCGCCGTAGCGGGCGGGTGAAGGGGGCGGCGCGGCCTGGGCTAGGTTGGGGTGCCCGGGAGGCATTAACATGGCGTCGCTGCTCTCCACAGAGACCCCCGCCCCCACCCCGGCCTGTGGCCCCCGCTGCCCGTAGAGCCGCGGGGTTCGGGCCGGAGCCAGCGCGGAGGAGACCGTTACCCGCCCCCGAGGTAGGCTAGTCCCCGCGCCTGCCCCAGGGAGAGGCTCCAGAGCAGGGCGAGGCTCCTTTCCCGGAAGCGGGCTGCCCTGACAGGTACAGCAGGTTCCCACCCCGTCCCTGGGGGCGGGGGGGCTGAGGGGTGCAGCGAGGCCTGCCCCTCCCCCTGCTGCTGAGGGGGCCGAGCCAGCCTCTCTTCGCCTGTGTCTGCCCTTGGGAGGGCGGAGGGAGACGGAAGACCCCAGGTGCCCCTCAGCAGCTGCCAAGAGGGGAGGGCAGAGCTGTCCTGCCTAGAGAGGGCTGCGTGGCCTGTATCTGTTTCCGGCCTGGCCTGGGTTGTGGTGGTCTGCTTGGGCCCATCACCATTGTGACTGTGGTGAGTGGGAGCTGGACACTCTGTTGCCAATTGTGTGTTTTTTCTCTAGGGTCCTCTCAATAGCTAAAACCTCTGACCTACTTGTGGCCCACCAAGAAGACGTTTTATGTGAGGCAGCACTGGTGTCCAGACATTCAAAGCATGATGGTTATATTCTAGGGCTTGAAAATCTTCCCTGATGCGATCCTCTCTTGCCTCAGGATTAAGTTTGCTAATTGGAGGTAGGGACTTCATGTGCTGCCACCTCCCGCCACCTATTTAATTTACATTGCAACCTCTTGATTTTCCCCCACTTATAAAATAATTCTTGCAAATAAAATCAGTTGGGATACTCCTATCTCACATGTATTCTGGCTGCCTTTTCTTCTCCCCCCTCCATCCACCCCCCAACTAAATTGTTTGTTCTTTCCAAAAATAAATACATTTTGATCTCTTTCTTTGACCCCACAATTAATGGGTTTTGGGGTTCCCCCCTTTAACTAGTAAATTCTAGGCTGTCCACTTTTCCAAATAAATGAAATCTGGGCGTTTTGTTTTCTCCCTTCCACCCTCCACCCCCTTTAGCAAAATCTTTGTTAAAATCTCCCTTATATCCAAGTCAGTGAATTTGGATTTCATTCCCTCTATTGCCCCTAGCTGTCTTTGAGTGCAAGAGTTTAGTAGGACTAAAACAAACAAAAATAGCCTCTTATGTGGCTACTGAGAATATCCTCACTTACATTAGATATAAATTATCATGCTTTAGAGCAGTGGTTTTCAAGCCCGTGGTCCCCTGGGGGGGCACAGACTATGTCTAAAATTTCCAAAGGGATCTGCACCTCCATTTGAAAGTTTTTAGGGGTCTGCAAATGAAAAAAAATGGTGAAAACTACTGCCTTAGAGTATAAGACAGCCACTAGCAGATGGGGTGAGGAAAAAAATCTCCTATGGGCAGGTTATTCCATAACTGTCAAATGCAGGATTTCTTGAACCTTTCTCTGAAGTATTGGTAGTGGCTATTTTCAGAGGCCCCAATACGGTAAACACTTATGCATATGTTTAACTTTACTACTAGTTATAGCCCCATTGGTTTAAAACAAATGTTTGCAGAACTGGGGCTAGAGTGAGGATGTTGGATTAGGTAGAACACTGCTCTGATCTGGTAGTTATAACATCTACTAAAACACCATTGTGAAAATAACACTTAGCATTTATATAGCATATTACAGATTCAAAGGGCCTCATTGCAATGTGTGAAGTTTAAAAAAACAAAAAATACACTAAACTTTACTGGGGTTCCTTGTTACATTAAAGGTTATTGACAGAAATTTAAATGAATAATAATAAAAATGCATTTTTTGGAGGGTTGGGTGGGCAACTTGTTTATTATCATTTTATATTTGGGTAGTTAAAGTTGTACATTAATATTTTGATCTTCATTGCACATTCAATATCTGTATCCTGATTTGGAGGTTAGTAAGCCTAATTTTGTTGGTATATCTGTATTCTTCTTGCTAGGAATTTTTGTAGCCATACAGATTCTGCCATATATCCTTCTTTCTACTCAGAAATTTTGTCTTATTTGATTGCATTAAATCTTTTGGGTTCACTGCTGCTCCCACACCTGTATAATCTAATCTGTTTAGTTTTGTATAAGATATACCCAGATAATACTGTATTCCCTTAACTTTTGACATTCAGCCGTGTTTCCGATGTGCCTATTATGTCATGGTCTTCTTCCATTTTTATCCATTCTAGTTTCTTTGGTATTTTTTTCTTTGTTTAAGCTTCTTGTCTGTAGATATTTAAGACCAAAAATAAAAGCTATGTGCCAATCTTTAACTCTTAGCTGATACACGTTGCTTTTCTGAAATTTTATCTGATCTCAACCTGGCGTGCCTCCAGTTTTAAAAAATGTTTATCAATTTCTCACTTAAAAAGAACCCAATGAAGACTTTCACAGTAACAAGCATAGTATGGTTCAGTATTATATAGTAATACTTACTGAAGTCATCAAGTGGCATGCATTCACTAGCTTATTTAACTGCATGATCTTATTACTGTTAGCCCTGTCCTCTCTTCAACCATACCATGTTGCTTGTTACTCTCACTTGTTACATCTTGTCTTAAATTAGACTGTATGCTGTTATGAGCAGGTACTGCTTTCCTACACATATGTCCACCGAGCACAAAGGGTCCCTGCTCCTTCTTGGAGTTGTAGGATGTTACTGCAGTACATATAATAAATAAAAACAACTTTTTATAACACCAAATGTAGATTCTCCTGGTGTTAATGGGACACTGATAACCTACCAATCACACTTCTATCTGAAATAGCTTTACTGATGTTACAAGAAATACCTATGAAATCCTGGCCCTATCAATGTCAATGAGAGTTTTGCCATTGACTTGAGTAGGGGCAAGATTCATACTCAGTGACTTAGGGCACAGCTGCAGCTATGCCACTGTAGTGTAGGCTAAGTCTACATTTAAAATTCTACAGTGGCACAGCTGCATTGCTGTATCACTTATTGCAGCATCTGGAGGGATTCTCGCATCACTGTGGGAGGGTAACTAAGGGTGGTAACTAAGTTGATTGAACAATTCTTCCATCGGCCTAGCACTGCTTACATGCAACTCTCAGGGATGTGGATTTTTCACACCCCTGAGAGACATAGCTAAGCTGATGTAGCTTTCCATTGCAGACCAGCCCATAGACACTTGCTACAGCGACAGAAGGGGTTTTCCCATTGCTGTAGTAAATCCACCCCATCAACAGACAGTAGCTAGGTGGATGGAAGAATAGTGGTGTTTATGCCAGTGCTTAATCACATCTTGCTGCAATGTAGCTTGGTCAACATAAATTTTAGATGTAGAATCAAAGAACCATAGGGTAGAAGGGACTGGAAGGGTCATCTAGTTTAACCCCTGCCAAGATGCAAGATTTGGTATGTCTAAACCACCCAAGACAGATGGCTATCCAGCCTCCTTTTGAAAACCTCCAGTGAAGGCACTTCCATGACCTCCCTATGCAGTCTGTTCCATTGTCCCATTGTTCTTACAGTTAGGAAGTTTTGGCTTTGACTGAGTCCAAGAAGTGTAGAACACCTCTGTCTGTAGGTAAATGCAGACAAGTTTCACAAAAGAGTGCTCAAAGTGGTCAATTCTATTATTTTGGTAAAGACACTTCTAAAGTCTACTGTTTCATATAACAGAAATCTTACCAGTGAAACAGTTCTTCATGACAAAAACTCAAAAGTGATTATTTGTATCAAATTAATAGCTATATGATAATGTGAAACAATGTAGAAGTGAACCAGTTTTCTGGCTTTATTAATAAAGTTGAAACAGTAAAAATGACCTAGCATTATTGTAGTGGCAGAAGATAAGAGTTTTCATTTTTGATTAATTGAATTTCCGTGAGAAATTTTGAGATTTAAGAACCCAGACAGGTGAATTCAGAAGATAAATCATAACTAACTTAGAAAAGAATATTATTCTGGAAATGTCTGAGAAACTAAAATTTTATTTTGCCAAACTGTAAGTAACCTTTGTTTCCAGATTCAGCTAATTATGTAGTCTATCATAAGATGTTGTAGCAGCTTCAGTAACAGTAGAAACAGAAATGTTTAGAACGGTAATGTTTTTAAGGACATAAAATGCACTTTAGAAGAGAATATGAATGTATTTAAACTTATTTTTATATCCTGTCACCCAAACTCACATTTGCTTGCTTATTTGATCCTTCCCTATATTTGTATCAGTATTAGTAATTTGACTTTTTCATAATCCTATCAAAAAACCCCAACAAATAAAAAATTATCCCTTGCATATTGCCTGCAGTGTTTACCCTTCCACTTGCCTTTCACACAGAAATCTCGCCTTTATTCCAGCTCTGTCTCTGTCTCACCAAAGTCATACTCTCCTTGTTCCTCTGCACACACCCCATTCCATAATTAGGTCTGCTGATTCTGTTGGGCTGTTTACTGGATCTTTCTGCATCAGGTCATTTGACAATCTGGACAAATGGGTTTCCTTCTGCTTTTTCGATTTGGTAGGCAAATGTGACCAATCACCAGCTTCAAACTTTTTTTTTCTTTCTGTCCAGCTGCACTCCTTCTGCATGGTCTCTTCTTGGAACCTCACAGAGCAGTTAGCCATTCAGACGGGCAGAAAATGCTGTGGCTGTTTGTGCTTAGATCTCTTCATGATGCTGCACTTGTTACATCCCCTCTTGCTCTTCCTCAAGATCCACTGACGCAAGCCCAACTTTAAGTCTTCTTCCCGGGGCAAACAGAATGGCCTCTTACAGCAAGGCAAATAGTGGCAGCAGCAAAATAGGAGGCTCTGGCTCTCCTTGCCTTTAGGTAGTGAGTCCACCACCACTGTCTGGTTAGTCAGTGTTAGGAGCTTAGGCTCCTCCTGATTCCACTCCCATCTCAAATGAGACAGTGTGTACTGCAAATTCTCCTGAACTACATTCTGAGGGCCTCACTCCCTTTAGCACTGTCTTTTTATGACAAGTGGTGCTTCAAAATGGAGCCCACCCTGCTCATTTGCAGTCCTACAGGCTTCAGTGACCAAGCCCCCACTCTCCTTTGCAGGGACAGAACATTGCTCGGAAGATCCACTTGTGCAGGGACTCTGACACACCACAGAAATTGTCATTTAAGCATCCCTTCACCGTATACAAAAGCCTCATGGCAGTACACTGGAGCACATCCTGTGCTAAGGAATGCACAGGAGCTGGCTTGGAAAGAGTATAGCTGGGTGGTAGAACAATTCTTGGAAGCCAGTAATAATTTCTCTGCCTAGTAAGTTTGAACATCAAATGAAAACCCATTGGTCCAGACTTTCAAATACGTTGTCTCAGAAGGTTGACTTATAGTAGGGAAAATCTCATTTATGTTTTAAACACCTGAACCCTTCCTTTTCACTTTTGTTTCAGATCCTATGGTGGTGGTATACAATAGGTCTATTAAAATGAGGCATTTACCCACTTCTTTGTGGAGGGTGGATTTTCCTGTAAATGTGAAGCAGTAAATATATTTCATTTTGTTTCAGCTTTCCGCTTGTGTTCTAGGAATCTGAGAGAAGCTGTTCCAGCCCCTCCAGGTCAGTGCAGCTGTGACTTTTTTTTTTTAAACATTTTAATTTGTTTACTTAATAAATAATGAAAAATAAGTTTAATTTGGGAGACTTTCCATCTACCAACTTCTATACTTAAGTGAAAGGTGTGACTTTCAAAAATGCTCAAAATCATCCCAGCTCTCCTCCCCTAGAAATAATGGTATAATTCCCATTAACTTCAGTGGGAACTAAGATTAGGCTAAATTGGAATGCTTTTTAAAGTCTCACCCAGAAAGTATAAAAGTGTAGCAACTGAGCTAGCATTTAGAACTCTGTTACCTATTTTGAGTTGCATTGTTTCTTTTTGGCTCTAGAAGATGATACTGCTTTTAACTTTAGATAATTTTAATCCAGTAAACAAAAAAAACTGAACCCTTCTCCTCTTCCTCTTTTGCCCCTTTACCCCATTCAAGCTAACATTTCCCCATGTTAAGGTTGGAAAATTAATACCTACACCTAAAGTAAATATTTTAAATAAACATACTTTCCTGTGTTCAGTTTTTTATTCTTATAGTCTGCACCACTGCTTATTTTATTGTCAATCACCTAAACAGATCTTTTGTTACATTTGTATTCTTATCTGAAAAAGACATTGTACGAAAAGAAAAATCAAGAATTAAATAAATCAAACATGCCTTTTTTTATTTTTAAGTGACCATTCTTCCTTGCCTGCTCTGGCTTACCTGTCCAGTATTTATTTTAATTGTAGTACAATAAACATTTAAGGATACAGTTTAATGCCCCTTCAAATCCAAGAGGTCTGCATTAAACATTTTTTATTAAAAGAATCTAGGGTAACTTTTCTGTGTATATAAACAAAATCATGAATTAATAACAGCAGTACAGACCAAGTGGGCTACGAGCAGTCATCAGTGCATATAGTATGTTTCACTACTGTTTAGGTAGCCTAATAGCTCAAATAAATGTTCAGTTTCTGCATTTAAAAATAGTGTTTGCTTTTACGTTTTCAGTGTATCATCATTCTCAGTTATGGGATACCACTCATCCACCCTTAGTGGTAGAAAAGAAGAGAACAAGAGAGATGAATGGATTTTGATGTAATCTGCAAAAAACAAAATAATTAAAAATCTAAAATGTTAAAACTTCAAATACAGTATAGCAAGTACTCTAGCTAACATCCACTCCACTTCCATTTGCACTTTTTTCTTTTTAAGAAGTTTTAAGTGAGATGCTTTCGACTTGATGATTATGCTTTGCATTCACATAGAATGTCATTATATTATTTATTATTTGTATTACCGTAGTGCCTAGGAACCCTAGTTATGTCAAAATAACTTAATCTTGATGAATTGTTTATAAAGTATTAGCCTTTTGCTTGCAGGACAGGTGTATGGAGCTTGTTCATTTGATACAGTGAAATTTGCCCTGTAGTTAAAAGGCCCAAGAAGACACGCACTAGATCAACAATCATTGCTATAAGTTCTGTATGTTGTAAATCATTAATCATTTCAGCATTTCTTGTAGGTGAGATGCACTGTTGCCCTTCAGACTGTGTTTAAAGTGTCACCTATATTGGTAATGAAAACCTGTCAGAGAAACAAGTTTAAAACAGTTTGCTTGGCCAGTGTGGATTCTGTATAAGCTTTTAAAAAAAAATTCTAGATTCAAAAGTGAAAAAATCTAGAGAAATGGTTTTTAAATGCTTACACTATTATGCCTTTCCATACCGATCAGACAAGCCATGTTATTCTGAACTGCCATTGTGGATAGGGCTTGAGTCTCATGCTAAATTATGTTGAATTCTGTAGGGAGGCATTCTATATGGGTACAGTAAGTGACAGATGGGTAAATACTACTTTTAAACTCTTATTTTCTTAGTTACAATACTTTACTGTACACCTATTTAAATATGTGGCTATGGTCAGAGAAACAGGAAGACAAGTGTGGAAATCTTTTTCTTACAAGCCCAATCAATATCTAACCAAGAGCCAGTCTAATTTTTGGGAAATCATTATGCAAGTGGTATTGATCAAGGTCACCTGCTCTGGCTGCCTAACATTGACTGGGTTCTTTAGTTTACTTCTATCATGTGTATAAATAATACAAGGATCGCAGGGCTGTCTCACAAGTACCTATCAAGGAAACAACTTCCTTTTTCCCGTTTCCATTTGCTGTATCTTAAACAGATTATTTTGGTATCTGAAGGCCACCTATGTTGCTTCCATACATCTCTCCCCATGTAGGACTAACATCAAAGCATACACATGAAGGCCCGGGATGAAGCAATACAACATACCAGTAGACAGACAGGTAGAACTACATAAGCCAAATGCCTTAGGGTAACATGGCTGAAAGAGGCATATGATTCCAAAGGATACAAAATGCAGCTTCTAAGATCATCTTCCTGGGTCCATTATCCTTCTCCTGTTTCACTGCATCAAAGTCAAGCTTCTTGTCCTCACCTTCCAGAACCTTCAGAATCCTGCCCTAGCTGTGTGCTTTCGCTTGTCTCTCATCACATTAAACACAGCTTCTCTGTTCTGTTAACTATGCTAGTCTTGTTTAGCCATTTGTCACCTTCTTATATATAGATATATGCCTCCGCACCTCCTTCCATGCTGCCTCTTACATGTGGAACCTATTCTTTGAGCTGATCCCATAAGGCCACAGATTTCTCATCAAGTCCCAACTCTGGCCTGACACTTAAGTCAGTTATTAATTATGACTCAGTTGAATGGCAGATGAGAATCGTTGGCACTTACTATACAATAAAAAAATCTGCAAATATATGTATGTACATCAAAATTGTATATATTTGATTTCTGTATCCCTCTCCCTTTACCCATCATATCCCACTTGTAATCTTAGATTATGAACTCCTTGGAGCAGGGAGCATTACTGTGTTTTTGTGCTGCTAGCATTAGGAGACAAAATCCTAGTAGAGGCCTTTGGGCACTACTATTATATAAATGTTCAATTACATTTTTAAAAATTACATTCAGAGAACTTTAAGGTTGCACTATCAAACACTCGGAAGTTTAGGAAATGCCAGAACTAAGATTGGTTGTGCAACCTTAATTCAACCCCCTTGTGCATATTCATTATAATACCACCAGTGGACCAAATTCGATGATGAATCCTGAAGCATTTTGAGCATATGCTAAGAAGATTATAATACAGTCTTCAACTGTATGATCACATTTTTTTTCCCCACAGACCCTCAGCCTTATTCAAAGTACAGGATGACTGGTGCTCTGGAGATGAACCAAGGTTGTGGCGTGAATGAGGCTGTTGCTTGTAGGATCCTCATTTGTTGCATAAGTTGGAAAGAGTGTAGTGAATGAAGCAGGGAACTGCAGGAAGAGAGAGAATGAATTTGTGGTTAAGGCAGCTGAATGCTACTCTGGGATTGGATTCTATCTCTGCTACTGCCACAGGATTCCTATGTGATGTGCAGCAACTCTCATAAACCAGATTTTTCACAGGTGGTCATTACTTGTTTGTTCCTCATTGTTTGGTGTCTAACTTAACATTAGGGGCTTGATTTGCAAGTATTTTTTTTTTAAAGGCAAATTGAAAACACAGAAATTTAATTGTTGAGCCAGATGGGTGGTCTGAAGGATTGGAAACTTTACCTCCACATCAGAGACTACTACCACTAGAGCTAACAAAAAGTAACTGGTAGCAATCATAGTAGTATGCTGTGATTCTCTTTGTGGAGCAGCCACTAGGGGGGATTGAGACACACTTTGAGTGGGTTTCAAAGATTTTTCCTGACTATCAGAGGAATGTTGAGATTCAATAATCCTGCATTCTATTCCAGGATCAGGATGGGTATATGTTCTTGTGGTTTTCTTTACATCATACTCTTATTTCTGACTCTTGCATTTGAGTCTTGTTGCTTTCTTCTTCTCCATTGTGCCTGTGCTGGGCAACAGCAGGGGACCATTGAGATTGCAAGAGGGACAATCTGTCTCTTGTGTTCCGGCCCCTGACAGCTGGGAAAAGCAATTGCAGGGAATGGCCTACTCAGCCCCCTGGGCTAGAACATGTTCAGTGCAGTTAAAAACAGGAGCTGTGTAGGGGTGGAGTTTGCTTAGTACAGATGGACTATTTGGAGAATTTAGCTGCCAAGCTCTAGCAAGCTTCTATAGCACATGTGCAAATGGTGATTTTTTTCAGAAGCTTCTTATCTTTAAGCCTAAAGATTGCAAAACTTGTCAAAATACAATTTTTCAGATGTCTGTCACTCATAAAACTACCTTATGCTGTGTCCTGCAATAAAATAATGTTAACAGAGGCCAGATTAGCTTTGACTTTTCACTTCAATAAAACTTATTTCTTTTCCTTTCAAAGCAGAGAGTCGAACCATTTAAATTTTGGTTCAGTTTGGGTTTAGCAATGTTTCCTAACTCTCTGGTTCAGACACTAACTTAGAAAACTTTGAACCTGTTTAAACTGGTTCAGATACATTTCCTGCAGATTGTCACACACTCTTATGCTTGCATTGTAACTCTTAGAAAAGGAATATTTATTATTGTATTCTTCAGGAACTTTCTCAATGGAATTTCATTCAAAATATTTTGTATGCAGAAATGTATCACATTTTCAAACTATGATCTGCGTTGTTGGATTAGGATAAATCACAAGATACATAATACCAATATCCCATGTTATCAAGGACATACCTGAGGGACTAGGTAGGAGCAGCCTCAGTTGGGGCTGGGAGTGATTAGCAATTGGGCCAGCAGTATGGCCAGAGCAATGTACTGTATTTAGTTGGCTCTGTGTGTTTAAGCCAATCACCTCAAAGACTTAATGCAACTCAAAACATTCCAGCATTCTTGTAAGATTAAAAAAGAAAGATGAAGTTATGAAGTAATTTTTGAAATCAGTAATGCAAAAAAAAAGGTAGCAAAGGAAAGCAGCAGGCCTATTAAACAATAAAAAATTCACCACCAGGGAACTGCAAACATTACAATCAAGCAATATGAAAGAATTCTGTTATGAAAAAAACAAACAAACCTCCTTGACGTAGTGGACAGAGGGGAGAAGCTCTAGGCCCAGCCAGGGAGGTGAGGTGATAATGGGGTTTTTATTAGTCAGAAAAGAACTGATACAGCACCTCTCCCCTTTCAGCTAGAACCCCCTTCACTTCCTTCCTCCTTTCAGGCCCCTCAGAGTCCCTCCGTCCCTCCTTCAAGTAGTCTCCCATAGCATAACACAATAACTGAACCTGTGCAGGGTGACTATTGGAGTGGCAGCAGGAAGGAACTTCAGTGCCAGGGAAACAAAGCCAGGAACAGCCTGGAAGAACAGTGGAGCCTTACATTCTCAAGTCAAAACAAAGGTCTTGTGTTCCACACTCCTCCTGCCTCACCCACCATGTCTGAAGCCTGAGTTATTGGCCTCTAGCACTCACCAGCAAGCAGGAGGAGATGGTGAGGGGAGGGAGGTGTTCTCTTCCATGGGGAGTCCTCTATCTGGGCATAATTAATCGAGAACTACCAATCCCAGAATACTTTTATCCCCCCTCCTTCTCCTCTCATTTCCGGTTGCTTCTTGGGAAGTGTAGTCTGTGCTTCTCTCTCTGTAAGGTTGGCGCATCCTGAGAAGACACTCCCTACCACCTGATGATTGAACCTGTTACTTTGAACTGGTTACTGGTTTTTGTTTTTTTGGGTTTGATTCCCATTTGGGGTCAATATGAGTCAGAGGTTTTCAGTCTGGGGTCAGTTCTAGTTCACTCATAAAAACTTTTCTGAATCGGTTTTTGATTTCAGTTCAACTTGTTTCAAAGGGATTGACTTTTGATCAAAAATTAAATATAAAAAATAAAGGATCATTTCCCTCTCAACCCAATAGATTTAAATCAGATAATCACTCTATATGCTATTTTATATTGTCCTAATCCTGTACTAAAAGGGAGAATAGGCTGGGGTCTGCACCTCTTTCACTCCTCCACCCCTCCCCCACCAGTAGGGGGATGTACTGTTTTTACCCTCCCTCCGTGGCTGGGAGGGGGACATGCTGTACACACCCACACAAACCCCTGTAGGGATGGGGACAAGCTTGCAAACTCAGCTGCTGGTTCTGGAGCCCAAACTGCGCTTTAAGAGTGTCCGTAACTCTGAAATTTTCGTAAACCTCCATTCCTGAGGTGTCCGTAACTCTCAGGTTCTACTGTATTTGGAACAAGCTAGATCTGCTAGAGGCACTCTGATACTGTACTATTTCGTCTGGTATGGAGTTAGCTTTCCCCTTTGAAGATCAGCAACAAGGTATACTGTCATGGTAGACAGATAGAGGCAGTTGTGCCCTTTCTAATTCTTTATCATGATTGTCTTCAGACTTTTGGAAATCCTAAAGGCTACAAAGCTGCTTCAACCATCTCTAATATAGGAGTTGTCCACCAGTGCCCCTTGGAGAGAGATCCAGCAACGTTTAGTTAATTAATGTCAAGGCCTAACTGAGACTAGCCCATGTTAGATTTGAAACTGAACCAAGAAAAAAAAATTCGGAATGGAATACAGCAGAACTGGGATGACGTTCTCTCTGGGAAGACTTTCAAGCATCCATTGAAAAATTCAAGATGACTACATATTCCAATATCCTCTTAACAATGCTATCTATAGTGTAGCCTGGAGTTTAGACAAATTCATTTTTGTGCCATGGCACTTGCCTGTGTTCCTGTAAATCTTTACAAAAATGATGATGATAGTACATATCAACAGCCTGCTTAACAGTTCAACAAATACTGAATGCCTTTGGAAACCTGGGACAGGTCATGAACTCTTTGAAGGGAATAGTAGAACAATTTCAGTCCGTGGTTTGTCTTGGCATTCACACTCTGATATGTCAACCTGTCCCTCAGCAGCCAAAGTCAGAGATTCTTAAGTGTCTCTTCTTGGAATAATCTCCTCTTTGCTCCTGATCTGAGGTAGTCAAAGTCCTTTACTGTTGAACGTGTATGTAATAGAATCAACACCTTGGAACCTCTTGCACTATATCTTTGCTGCTTCTGCAGTTAAGTGCTTATGGCTAGTATCACTAGCTCTCCTTTATTATGTGTGTAGTAGCCAAAATATCTATCCAGTGGTTGTGAGACAAATTTAGTAAAGGGGAGTGGGATCTCTACCCTTTTGGAACAAGTCTCTCAGCAATGGATATCAATGACATACATCAGTGATGAAGGCCAGTTTAATGGATCTATCTGAGAACAGTTGAGCTGTCTCATGTCTAAAGTTTAGTGATGTATTAGAGAGAATATACATCCAGTGAAAATTTAGGCATTTCCAAAGGTCTCATGACCTTCAGCTTCCAAACTGTTGAAGGAGAAGCAGATTTGATCTGTGCGTAGCACATTCTGTTAATAAAGCTGCCATTGCTTACTTCATCTAGCAAAGCAGTAGTTGAAACCACCATTCATTGGAGCTGTCTAAAGATACTTTTTTCAATGGTATTTTCTTAAACTTCTGAATCTATTTCTTATGGGAGTTAAATAAACTTACGGGCTGGGAGTATGTGTCATTTCTTAGGTCATCAAGCAGTTTGGTTGCTTCTTTTCGTTATCGTCTATCTCTGAATGTTAAAATGGGGTGGCCTTGTAATGATCTCTTGTATCCACAAATACTATCCAGTACCTATCCTGTTCTTGGTTACCTAGAGAAGGAGGTTTATGGATGTTTTTTGTTTTGTTTTTTTGAATCCGCTGGTCTGAAGAAATACAATTGCATTTTCTTTCACCATCCCTCTCTTTGCTTCTGTCTTCCTCGTTACATGTTTTTTTTAAAAATCTGTCTCTGTGTCTCAGATGAACCAAATCAGACTTATCTTTATAAGTAGATCTTGCTCTTCTTTGGTATCAGGATACTTGCAGGGATCCAGATAAGAGAAATTTCATTAGAAACAGTCTGAATTTTGTTTGTTTTTCTTCTCAGTAGTGTTCCTGTATTTTTGTTCTGGATTTTTTCCCACCTCTTTGAGATTTTAGATTAATTAAAGAATTTTGGTTTCTCTTTTTATACACTGCCTTCATGTAAATATAGACAGTAGTGAAACTCGTGTTAGAGGAGCACTCAAGTAAGACAAGGCAAAGGCAAAGAAGCTAAATGAATTCTTTGCATTGGTCTTCGGTACAGAGGATGTACAAGATACCCACATCAGCGCTGTTCTTTTTGGATGACAGCTCTGAAGTACTGTCCCAAATTGATATGTCAATAGAAGAGATTTTAGAATAAATTGATAAATTAAACAATAATAGGTCAACAGGACCAGATGGTATTCACTCAAGAATTCTGAAGGAACTTAAATAGGAAATTGCAGAACTTTTAACTGTGGTATGTAGCCTATCACTGAAATCGGCCTCTGTACCAGAGGAAGGTAGCTAATGTTAACAGTTTTTAAAAAGGGCTTTAGAGGAGATCCTGGCAATTACAGGCTGGTAAGCCTAACTTTAGTACTGGGTAAATTGGTAGAAACTATAGTAAATAATAGAATTGTCAGATACAGATAAACATGATTTGTTGGAGAAGAGTTACTACAGCTTTTGCAAAAGGAAGTCATGCCTTGCCAATCTATCAGAATTCTTTTCAGGAGTCAACAAGCATGTGGATAAGGGTGATCCTGTGGATATGGTATGCTTGGAATATCAGAAAGCCTTTGACAAGGTCCCTCACCAAAGGCTCTTAAGGAAACTGGGGGCTTGTCTAAACTTACAGAACTGTAGCATCTATAGCACTTAGTGAAGAAGCCACCTACACTGACAGGAGAGCGTCTCCTGTTGACATAGGTACTCCATTTCCCCAAGAGGGGGAAGCTAGGTCGAAGAGAGAAGCCCTCCCATCAACATAGTGCTGTCTACACCAGGAGTTAGGTCAGTATAACTGCGTGACTCATGCTTGCATGAAACTGTGTATTAAATTGAAAAATAGTAGTTCTGAGAAGGAAGACTGTATTTATGGAGAGAGAAACTCAAATACTATATATGCATAAATAGCAAGAATTCAGTGCAATCTGAACCTGATCCAGGGTAATGAATGGTATTATATAACTTATCCAGACACATTACAAGGGAATAACTGCATTTTGTTTGTTTAGCATGCACAATAATTGTTTTCTTTAATTACAGTTCATTGCCATGAAAAGGAGAATGTGATTAAACTGCTCACCTTATGAAATTTGGCTTACATGTGAATCTGCCAGGTATAGACGTGTGTGTGTGTGTGTGTGTCTCTGTCTGTTTAGAGCATTGCTAAGTAAAGTAACATTTTGATCTTCTGCTGACTTCTTATACATATATAAAGTCTTTAGGTAAATATTATCATTATTATTATTTATTGTAGTATTTCTGAAGTGGTATTGAAATGTAGCCTTTTTTAAAAAATAATATTTATAAAAATAATCTCTGCTGTGGAGAATGTGCATAGGCATCCCTAATACACCGACTTGGCTTTAAAGGTTGATCATGAGAAATTCAGGGAATGAGTTGTTTCCCTGGCTTATTGGTGCTGTGTGCTTGTCTCTTTGGATGTTATATGCTGTTGACTCATATTTAGTTTGTGATCCACTATGACCCCAAGATCCCTTTCCACAGTACTCCTTCCTAAGCAGTCTTTTCCCATTTTGAATCTGTGCAATTGTATTATCAAATACTTAGCTCACTGCAATCAGAAGAGAGGCAGGGTGGTTCTTGCTAGTGGAATACTAAAATCTTTAGTAATTCTTCCAGCCTGGGCTTTGGAGGTTGATGTATTGGTAACTTGTTGCAATTACTTTTAAATATTTTGAGATGTCTTTTTTGGTTTTGTTTTTCCTGTTTTTATCATTTCAACCTAGGTAATACAAAGACCTGTGGAATATGAGTGATGACAAACCCTTTTTATGCACTGCCCCTGGATGTGGCCAGGTAATAGGATGCTTTGAATCTATTAATGTTGGTCAAGTAGACAAACACAGGTAAATGTATTTTATGTTAGATTGAAGAGTAGAAATATTTTTTAATGACAGATGTTGGAAAGTAACTGCATGCTGTAATTATTTTGTAAAGCAGGTGACAGCAAGAATTTTCAGCTATTTTTTAAAAATTTCAAAAATGCTATCCACAGGATAGAGTCTTTAAAAAATAAAAACAAAAGAAAAATCCCACAATTGTCATATCTCTGTCAGAAAAAACACTGTTTTAATTCTGCATTTGTAATTTTCTAAATGGAAACAAATAATGCATTAATTTGCATAATAGTGATCACATTCTTAACTCTCTAGAAGGAATTAGCAGAAAAACAAGTGCAATACAAAGTGTAATACAGCTCCAGTATTCATGAAATCTGTAGAGGTTAAATGATAGCAGGGCGCTTGTATAGTGAAGCCTGGGGGCATACTTTAAGTTTCAGTAAACATCCCATTTTCCCCAATGCATTATTATAATCCAGTACTAGCCTACTGGTTCTACCATGCTTCAGGAAGGAGGCCTTCCCATTGATTGGCCAGCTTCAGAGAAAATCCCTTACAAACGGGCTGTACAGAGAACTGAAATCCCATTCTGGTCTTGTGCATTTCCAAATTTCCCTCCCATTTTGAGCTGAAGCGTAACTTTTTAAAAAAGGCTCAGAGGCAATACTTATAATTACGGACAGTAAGCCTAGCTTCAGTACCAGGCAAACTGGTTGAAACTATAGTAAAGAACAGAATTATCAGACACCTAGATGAACACAATATTTTGGGGAAGGGTCAACATGGCTTTTGTAAAAGGGAAATTACATCTCACTAACCCTATTAGAATTCTTTGAGGGTGTCACCAAACATGTGGACAAGAGTGATCTGCTCAATATAGTGTACTTGGACTTTCAGAAAGCCTTTGACAAGGTCCCTCACCAAAGGCTTTTAAGCGAAGTAAACAGTCATGGGACAAGAGGGAAGGTCCTCTCCAGGATGAGTAACTGGTAAAAAGATAGGAAACAAAGGTAAGAATAAATGGTCAGTTTTCACAGTGGAGAGAGGTAAATAGTGAGGTCCCACAAGGCTAAGTGCTGGAACCAGTGCTGTTCAATATAACTCATAAATGATCTGGAAAAAGGGGTGAACAGTGAGGTTGCAAAATTTGCAGACAATACAAAAATTACTCAAGATAGTTAAGTCCAAAGCAGTCTCTCAAAACCGTGTGATTGGGCCAGGAAAGAGCAAATGAAATTCAATGGTGATAAATGCAAAGTAAAGTATATTGTAAAACATCATCCCACCTACACATATATAATGATGAGTTCAAAATTAGCTATTACCACTCGAGAAAGATCTTGTAATTATCCGAGGATAGATCTCTGAAAACATCTGCTCAGTGTGCAGTGGCAGTCAAAAAACGAACAGAATGTTAGGAAAGTAATAGATATAAGACAGACAGTTAGGAAACCATTAGGAAAGTGATAGATATAAGACAGAAAATATCATAATGTCCCTATATAAATCCATGGTACGCCCACACCTTGAATACTGTGTGTAGTTTTGGTCACCCCATCTGAAAAAAGCTGTATTAGCATTGGAAAAAGTGCAGAGAAGTGCAACAAAAATGATCAGGTGTATGGAACAGCTTCCATATGAGTAAAGATTAAAAAGACTGTGACTGTTCAGCTTAGAAAAGAGATGACTAAGGGGGATATGGTGGAGAAAGCGAATAAGGAAGTGTTATTTATCCCTTCACATAACACGAGAACTGGGGATCACCCAATGAAATTAGTAGGCAGCAGGTTTAAAACAAACATAAAGAAGTAAGTCATCTTCACACAATGCCCAATCAACCTGTGGAAGTCATTGCCTGCGGATGTGAAGGCCAAAAGGATAAGTGGGTTCAAAAGAGAATTAGACAAGTTCATGATGGATGGATTCATCAATGACTATTAGCCAAGATGGTCAGGGATGCAAACCCATGCTGTGGGTGTCCCTAAGGCTCTGACTGCCAGAAGCTGGGAATGGATGACAGAAGATGAACCTCTTGATAATTGCCCTGTTCTGTTCATCCCCTCTGAAGCATCTGGCACCGTCCACTGTCAGAGGACAAGATGCTGGGCTAAGTGGACCATTGTTCTGACCCAGTATGGCCATTCTTATGCTCTCATAATGTGAGGCCTTCACGCCTTCTCAACTCACATCAGGATTGGAAAAGGGGTACTATATCTTCTTCTAGGTTATTAATCTTGTTTTTCTTTCCTTCCTTACTGGTATGGTCCAGCTTCTGTGGTTTTAGGTAATACTTGAGGTTTTCTTGATGCAAACAGTGATCAGATATTCACTTTTATTTTATCTGCTCACAATTTTGTCAGTATCCACTGCGAACTTGCAAGTGGTCCTTCCTGCAGGGTGTAGTGAGGAAGACATATGTAGACTTCAGGGGGAGGTGCCAGGATGTGAATCTCTCAACCTGGGTCAGTTTGTAGTGGAAGTGGTAGCCTATACCACGTAATGAAGCGCACACTAACTTTAAGGAACAACTAGGGCTTGATAGTTAGATGGACACAACTCTCATAATAGAGTGAAAGTTAATATTACACCTCACATCTGGGCAGCCTGTGGTTAGGTCCCCCTGAGCAGACTGAAGACCTTTTAATTGTTACCTATTCTTATGATGATTATGTAGATATGTAATCTATGGTCAGAAAACGTAGCTGCCCATAGCTGTCGGGGTTTTCCACATGTAGATAAGTATAATTTTCCAGTGTATTAAATAATATTGAAGCTAATAAGCCATTTTCCTTTAGGCTTGTCTTCTGTGTTTCTTCCTATGTACTAATGACTGCTCAATTTATACTTATTCTGTAAGGAAAAGTCATTGCGTTCTTGCAGATAGTGGGGTTTGGTTTGTGTGGGTTTTTTGCACAATGTTGCTTTACAGAAGCAACAAGATTTATTTTAATACAACTCTAGGATTTGTTCTTAGTCTTATTCAGTACCATTTGTCTGGCAGTGTCTAAGTCCTGAGTGGTAACATTGACTCTGAATTTGATTTCTTGTCAGTTTAAGTGAGACTCTGATCATCATTTTAACATCGAATTGTGTATTTAATTTCTGATTGTAATGTTTATAATTGAAAGATTCAAAGAGGTGAATGTTCTTTGATTTTTTTTTTTAAAGGGAATTTTAAAGTATTACATTCAAGAGTTCAGCATACTTTTATTTTTGAAAGAATGTTATGGCTTATAGACTCATAGACTTTAAGGTCAGAAGGGACCATTATGATCTTCTAGTCTGACCTCCTGCACAATGCAGGCCACAGAATCTCACCCACCCACTCCTGTAACAAACCCCTGAACTATGTCTGAGCTATTGAAGTCCTCAACTTGTGGTTTAAAGACTTCAAGGTGCAGAGAATCCTCCAGCAAGTGAACTGTGCCACACGCTGCAGAGGAAGGCGAAAAACCCCCAGGGCCTCTTCCAATCTGCCCTGGAGGAAAATTCCTTCCTGACCCCAAATATGGCGATCAGCTAAACCCTGAGCATGTGGGCAAGACTCACGAGCCAGACACCCAGGAAAGAATTCTCTGTAGTAACTCAGATCCCACCCTATCTAGTGTCCTATCACAGGCCATTGGGCATATTTACCGCTAATAGTCAAAGATCAATTAATTGCCAAAATTAGGCTATCCCATCATACCATCCCTTCCATAAACTTATCAAGCTTAGTCTTGAAGCCAGATATGTCTTTTGTCTCCACTGCTCCCCTTGGAAGGCTATTCCAGAACTTCACTCCTCTGATGGTTAGAAACTTTTGTCTAATTTCAAGTCTAAACTTCCTGATGGCCAGTTTATATCCATTTGTTCTTGTGTCCACATTGGTACTGAGCTTAAATAATTCCTCTCCCTCCCTGGTATTTATCCCTCTGATATATTTATAGAGAGCAGTCATATCTCCCCTCAGCCTTCTTTTGGTTAAGCTAAACAAGCCAAGCTCTTTGAGTCTCCTTTCATAAGACAGGTTTTCCATTCCTCGGATCATCCTAGTAGCCCTTCTCTGTACCTGTTCCAGTTTGAATTCATCCTTCTTAAACATGGGAGACCAGAACTGCACACTGTATTCCAGATGAGGTCTCACCAGTGCCTTGTATAACGGTACTAACACCTCCTTATCTCTACTGGAAATACCTCGCCTGATGCATCCCAAGACCGCATTAGCTTTTTTCACAGCCATATCACATTGGTGGCTCCTGTGATCAACCAATACTTCGAGGTCCTTCTCCTCCTCTGTTAGTTCCAAGTGATGTGTCCCCAGTTTATAACAAAAAATTCTTGTTATTAATCCCTAAATGTATGACCGTGCACTTTTCACTATTAAATTTCATCCTATTACTCCAGTTTACAAGGTCATCCAGATCTTCCTGTAGGATATCCCGGTCCCTCTCTGTATTGGCAATACCTCCCAGCTTCGTGTCATCCGCAAACTTTATTAGCACATTCCCACTTTTTGTGCCAAGGTCAGTAATAAAAAGATTAAATAAGATTGGTCCCAAAACCGATCCCTGAGGAACTCCACTAGTAACCTCCTTCCAGTATGACCTGTTATAGTCTCCCTTTAACCAGTTCCTTATCCACCTTTCAATTTTCATATTGATCCCCATCTTTTCCAATTTAGTTAACAATTCCCCACGTGGAACTGTATCAAATGCCTTACTGTAATCGAGGTAAAATAGATCTACTGCGTTTCCTTTGTCTAAAAAATGTTACCTTCTCAAAGAAGGAGATCAGGTTGGTTTGGCACGATCTACCTTTTGTAAAACCATGTTGTATTTTGTCCCAATTACCGTTGGCCTCAATGTCCTTAACTACTTTCTCCTTCAAAATTTTTTCAAAGATCTTGCATACTACAGATGTCAAACTAACAGGCCTGTAGTTACCCGGATCACTTTTTTTCCCTTTCTTAAAAAT